ACAGGTATTAAAGGCAAACAAATAGTAGTACTCTTAAACTGTCTAAAATTAGCACACAATAATTACTGTAACTTCAAATCTGTAAGGACTTTCTTCAAGCTTACTGTTACCCACAAACTGTATGATCAACCAGTTTCTTCTCTCTCATCTTACGAGACTGGCCCCAGATACATTTTTCAAGTGTTCATGAGGTATAACACCAGTCACAATGCACCTCTCTTATCAATCATTACAATTTCCTTCTTTCTGTGAAATTATTTTAGTTTTTCATAGAATGACTATATGATAAACAGGAAAGAAATTCTAATTCTTTTTTAAAAATATGTGCAAGAGCAACAAACTTCATGGTCCAAATTTGATTGGTACTTTCAACTGCACACACGGGCAAAATTGATGGTGAAAGTAATAGAAGAGCAAAAACAAGTTATTTATGAAGTCAGTACCAACATATATATATATATATATATATATATATATATATATATATATATATATTGAAAGTTAGATGGAGATTCATTTTTCTTTCTTCCTCTATTTCTTTTCCTTTTTTCAAATCATGTCAATGCTTTTAAATGAAGCTTAGAAAGATAATTTGGAAATTTAGATGATCAGGTTGACCAGCATTTGAGTAAAAGGTTCACTTGACTGAAAAAGGGAATGGAAAAGCAGAAATTGGGATACGAACATGTAATCAAATGCAGTCAATACTGTTAATGGGAAACTAATATTAGAGGCATGGGGAAGCTACTTCAAAGATTAGTATCTTGATACTGTGCTTGTTATTTTTAGCTAAATTATAACAACGGTGCTTCATATCAGTTTGTACTTCCCCAAGTCACTGGTTAGCTTTAAAAGTAGCATCGTTATGTATTTTCAGGGGTAATGTTAAACAAGGACTGATAGGTAATAAATATATGCATGTTTCTTGGCAACCAACATGCCAGATTGGTTAAGTATTATGGTATACACACTTCCAAAAAATATTAGAGTTAAAAAAGGAACTTAGTAAGAAAAATAAAATTCTTAGTAGAGGCACATAAAAGAAAAATACTTGTGGATACACGTATCAAAAAATACACATATATATATCATTGACTATGTGTGTGGTACATGTCCATACCTAGACATACACACACAAACACACACAAACACACACGCACACATGCACACACACGCGACACACACACACACACACACACACACACACACACACACACACACACACACACACACACACACACAACACACACACACACACACACACACACACACACACACACACACATATATATATGTATACATATGTGTATATATGTAAATATATGTAAATACATGTATATATATATATATATATATATATATATATATATATATATATATATATATATATATATATATATATATATACACAATACATATATATACAAATACATATAAATACAAATACATATCATGTATATTCATGTATATTCAAATACATATACATTCAAATGCATTATATATATATATATATATATATATATATATATATATATATATATATATATATATATATATATATATATATATATATATATATATATATATATATATATATATATATATATATATATATATATATATATATATATATATATATATATATATATATATATATATATATATATATATATATATATATATATATATATATATATAGAGCATACAAGCTATTCCTTGGGGCACTAAAACAAATCATTCATTATTGTTGGTACCTTTGTCAAGCATAAAACAATTATTTAATTAAAGTGTTTCAAGAAAGAAAAAAAATATTAAATCAGTATACTTATATCATACACAGGTGATTCACATGAGGTATGCAGTGAGGAAGTTACACAAAGGTTAAGCACATTTCCACCTTTCGACCTTCAAGCTGAGGATGGTGTGGTCACCTCTTCTGCAGGAGCGCATGATGTCGAGATCCTAGAACAGAACCTCTGAACAGCAGCAGGCCTAAGTGACCCTCATTCTCACCATCTTTGTCACATCTATGACACTCCCGTTGTCAAGATTGCCCTCTGGATTGCCTTTTAAAAGAGCTTCTTTTCTTCTCTGTCTGTCATAGATCTGGATGGATCTTTCCCTGACAGTACCTTCTATGGATGGCTCGGTTATAGTTGCTCCATCTTTCATCTTTTCCTTCTCGGCTTCAATCTCCTTGTACTTCTTTAGAAGACCAACTGCCCACTTAAAGAAAGAATGAAATGTATTAAAGACAGAAAGGAAGGACTAAAAAAATAAGATGAAACAATAATAAAAGACATTTTCTGAATGATAAATTCACTAATAATCATGATAAAAAAGACAGCGAAAGACTGTACAAAGACATTTAAGAAAGAAAATGAAGTAAAAAGGAAAGGAAGAAAGAAACTATATATATATATATATATATATATATAATATATATATATATATATATATATATATATATATATATATATATATATATATATATATATATAAACATGTGGGGGGGTGCTTGCGTGCATGCCTGCTCCTACCCTCCAACACACAAACCTGTCAACCAGTAACGACCATCACCTGTGTGTGTGGGTTCCGACACACACACAAGTACCAAAATAAAAGATAAACCAAGATAAACCAGGGGCAAAATGACTGTTAACATTCATTGAATACTAGTAACCTATTGCTGCCACAAAAATGTTGCATTCACTTTAGCACTGTTTTGTTAAATGTTTCTACACATAGATGGCTCTGCTAGAGCTTAGCCACAAAGGAGTCAATTAGTAGATCTTGTGACCTCACCTACCCTTGAATTAGTGGGGAAATGCTTTTTTTTTTTTTTTACTAATGCTATCAATATTGTCTTTATAAACATTATAATTACTATATTGTTATTGGCATTACCAACAATTGTATTAAATACTAGAAAATATTGAAAATCAGGGAAAAGGGTAAACAGCTGAGACAGGTACTTAATTGGAGACCTAGTATTTGTGGAGCCATCTATATATAAAAACACTAATTAAACTAAATTAAACACACTTCAATAAAGCATCAGATTTCAGAAAATGGCAAGCTATTTTTCCACCATCTTGTGCAAATACTTGGTGAATACAAATCTGGTACATCCAGTCTCTATGTTACAGAGAGGTATCCCTGCCTATCCTTATTCTTTTTTCTACTCTACTGGGCCTTCGCATTTTACTCAATCCTTTCTATACTCCCGTCAAGCCATCAGAGACTACTACACCACTACCTCATCTTCTGTCCACTTCCCCAAGGAAAATATGACGTTCACAGTTGTATTGCTTTGTGAAATGTATCTACATATAAAGTGTAGATAATGAGCGAATTTCCTTCTGTTAAAACACATTACAAAAGGGGATATACTAATGCCTGATTTACCAAACTGCATTTACTAACAGTATAAATTAGGCATGTCAAGCACACTTCTCCTGTGTATACAATGCTAACTAAACATCACTTTCCAAAAGATACAATAGAATTTAATTTATGCAAATTAAAAGTACATAACAATAATTTAATTCTATCTCATAATAGTTCATTTTTAAAAGTATCATAACTCACAGGATTTAGTTTTAAATTATTTTTTAGTAATAGGGTCATCAAAGTTCATATACTTGGGAGGGGATTGGAATCTGGGCTTTAAGGGATTCATTAACGGAAAATATATCAAAGTGTAGTAATAGCAACACTAACAGCTATGATAAACCATCATTGCAAACTAAAATCATAAAAACAACTAAACTCTTCTGACACGAATTTAAGATGTTACCTGCAAGTCTTCACGCCAAAGTTCCTGTTCATCAGGACGAATATGAACAGCTTTTGAAAATGTCTTCACTGCCATTGCAACATCTCCAAGTCCTAACTGGGCCCTACCAAGGGTTTGTAGTCCAACCCACCAGTTTGGGTATAGCTGCACAGCTGCCTCTGCCGATCTGAGTGCAGGGAAAACTTCTCCCACCTTGAAGGAAAGAAAATACAAATATATTTGTAATGCTGATCATCATGGTGAGAAGTATTGTTATATCAATAAGGGTGTTAAGTCTAACAAAGAAATAAGATTAATCTATTCAAAAAATTAATGCTATACAGTTCTCAATCTCAATCTCAATGTTTTATGCGTAGGGCGCTAAGTGAGCGCATAACACACATATCAGTAGCGATTGGTTGCTGGGGAATATTTTCTCCTAAACTCTCAAACTTCTTTTTTTATATATAAAGTAGGATAGTTATCTTCTTAAAATTTTTGAAGTTTTGAAGTCAGCACTGATACCAATTACTTACAAACAGTAAAAGAAAATAATCCAGCCAAACCTGCATGTATGCTTGGGCTAACATTTCATGAAGTGCATAGTCATCTGGGGTTAGGGCAAGAGCAGCATTCCATCTCCCAATGGCTGCCCACCAACGCTCTGACTCTGCCAGCATTACTCCTTCATTGCTTAGACGCCGCGCTTTTGCCTTTGCATCTTCCAGTTGCAATACCTGTAAGAAAGTAAATTGTTTGACTGTCTATCCATGACTAGCTGATGTGAAATGATTAGCCTGTATAGACTAAATGATTAGTCTATACATTTCATATGATAAGAACAATTCTTGAAGAAAAGAACACCTGCTTAATGAAAGATCTTCTACATTCATATATGAAATTGAAATTCAAGAATCATTCTACATCAAAGTGACTGAGTTTCAATTAGACTTTAGTTCATACCTTTGGCTTCTTTGTCGCTGTTAACCAGTCAACATCAGGATCATTCATATCATTGTCAACTTCCACATTATCCTGAGAAAAAACAGCTGGTTTTGGCTTTGTTAAGCCAGCTTTTCTTTTCCATCCGAATGACTGCATCTAAAACAGAAGTGGTGTCATTAATATATTTCACTTCTCTGATCATCCTAACATCTGTCAAAAAAAATAATACTTTAAAGAAAATAGAAAATTCAATATAAATAGACCTTTGGCATCCAGTAGATTTATAAAGGGCCTTAATTATCTATCTAACCTAAATACTTCTTTGTTCCAAGAATATAATGAAAACTTATTGAACAGTAATAGGCAGACTTATTCCTTTTGCAAGAAATTAATAATGTTAAACATTTATAAACTGTGATCTGTCAAAAAAATATATATATTGCTAACAGAATACATACTTTCAATGTCTTCTTTCACTCAAGACAGTTTGGGGATTCTTTAATTTACTACTTTATTAGGAATAAAGTAAATGTAGACACAAAATCATTTTGCTGAAGTCACAGTCCTGATCTGATAAACTTGCTATGTTAACTTGCTAATCTATTCATCAGTAAAGAGTAAATTTCATTTTTTTTAATATTTTGAATAATAATCTTGATTGCAATAGCTAGAGTAAGTATTAAAAAAAATAATCGAATTTTACTGAAAGCATTAGCAAGGTACCAATAAAAAATAAATGTGTCTTCAAAATATGTGGTAAAACTTAAAATATACTGGTTCATGAAGGAGGTTTATTGGCCTTTGTTGGGGTATAGTTTTAGTTTCCAACATCTATGTAGTACATGGTAAAATTTGCTTGCAATAGACAATATGGCTGAAAATAAGACACTTTTCATCTCCGGTATTCCTTTACAAGTCGATAATAAGAAGGTTGTGAAACATGTAATACTTTAGTATACGTTTACAGGAAAATGTAACAGTGCTATAATAACCAAAGAGGAAAACTACACTAATATATGAAATACTGTGAGCAGGCAAAGAATAGCACCTGATTTTAAGGAAATTGGTTGCAACTAATGCCGTGCAGAGAGCAAGTTCATGGCAACCAGATGGGGGTCCCGGGGTGAAGCCCCTGGGTTAGGAAGATTTGGGTTCATACAACAATGCTTGTGGATTTCCCACGAATGACTGGAGTAATAGTGACATTCTCAGAGGGGTGCAGTCACTTCATAAATATTACCAATACTTTCATTTATATAATTAGAGATGGAAAATAACAAGAAATTCACATATATTACAGTGTGGATAATTAAAAGAAAGATCAATAATTCCAAGACTGGATGGTTGTGTGAAACTAAAAAATTACCTTTATTGAGTGCCAAAGAAAAAAAATAGAGATAAGCTTTTGTTGGGGGATACATTTCTAAATCCGGCAATTTTTCTGAATATCTTCGCATTACTGATAACAACGATTTTGGTATCAATAGATTCCTTTCCCTCTTTACTATTCACCTACACTGAAAGTATTCTGCTGAAAATGCCCCATTAGCAACAATCTTGGCCCTGATAGCAGGGGAGGGCATGAAAGGTTCCAGGGTAACTGCAGGATAAAATCTGCATAGAATACAGTAAATACACAAATATAGTAATAGTACACAATGAATTAGTCACTGCAATGTCTAATGCAGGGGGCTGTGCCCCCTGAAACCCCCCACAGGGGGATACTGTCTCCATCCCCCACCCTATCTGACAAAGAATCTGCTACACATGCACAACAGGTTTGAGCATGAGAGAATCACTCTCCCAGCTCAGCGGCATCTATCAATATAATTCATAGGTTACATATTTCCTCACATGTTGGTTGTATGCTCTATCCTGTTGTGAATGCATTGAGGATTCTTTGTTTTCCAGGGCAAGGGTGGGGGTTAAAAGGGGCACAGCTCCCTGCATTCAGCAATATAGTGAGCTATTATCTTCATTATGTTATTCTATTATTGTTAGTTTACCCCGTAAATTTCCTGGTACCTTTCATGCCCTTCCCTGCTATCAGGACCAAGACAGTAGGGGTTAGGAGGTTTTGCATAATTCCTACACATATGTGTACCAGAGAGTGAGAAGAATCCATCGATACCAAAATCATTACAACTGGTTATGCGAAGGTTGTGTGGAAACTGATCCTAGTTCTAAGAAATACCATAAACAACATAATACAAGTGAATAACATCAGGTCTTTCATCAAGTTCTGGATAGAATACAGCTAAGAAAAACAAAATATTAGTTACAATTAGAAAGCCAAGTAGGCTGACCCACATTTTATTTTTTTTTCTCAAATGTGAACACAAAAAAAATAACAAATAATAATGTTACTGGCCAGACAGAGCCTGTAGATCCTCCTGGCTATTTATCATGAAACAAAGAATTAGTCCCAGCTTTATTTTCTTGGAAAATAGATAGTGGAGGTTTGTTACCCTTATTTGAAGTGTGAAGAGCTGAGTAGAGCTTTATTTTTAGGGGAACTTAAATTTTTCTTAATCCCGTAGAGTTAATTTGCACATCAGTCAAACTCTGAAATGCTGCCACAAGGTGACACTTATATAGACTATAAGGCTATAGCTGCAACTGACATGTGAAACAGCTGAGATCTGTCCTGCAAGTGTCTACTAAAAGGCTAATTCAAAATTATTATCAAGCACAATCCTACTTCACTGCTTGAACATTTGTTGCATAATAACACAAAGTAATGACCAATAAAGGATTATCATAGAAATGAAGTTTAACTAATCAAATATTTATTTTTAGTTCATTTGTTTGTTTTACAATGGTGTAAACTCTTCTCTTAAGTAAACAAGGAACTAAAGTCATATATCAATCATCTTTCCTTGTCAGCCCATGTCCTCTGTAACCATTTCCACAAAAAATAAAGTACTTAACATCATATCACATGGAAAGATATAAATATGCTTCACATATCAAGAACACTCATCTTCTACCACAATTTTCCTTCATCTTCTTTATCAACAGGGTATAAGAACTAACACCATATCCTAAAAACCCATATATATACACTGTCACTGGGGATACAACGTTTTTACATCCACCTTTAAAAATTCTTTGTTGGATTTCATTTCCAGGCCTTTTATGGTCAGCGAAGTGTATCTCACCAATGGCACGTGAAAACCCAATGAAAGAGCGTGAGATAACTTCCAAGGAGAGCTTCTAGGGCAAGATCATGTTAAAACGAGACACATGTACCTCCAAAAACACCAAATCAACGCGTATATCCACTCAAAATGAGCTAAAACTGGGAGACGCAGCGAGGTCCGACCTACGCACGCAGAGACACACACACGTCTCCCAAACTTCAGAAGCCAACAGGAATAGTGCCCAATACAGTGAAAATCACAACCACACCTTTGTAACGGCCACACTCATCTCCAAGGAATCCCAGGTACGGTGGATTTTCCTTTAAATATATACACACTCGTTCAGCGTGGTTATTTCCCAGGTGTGGTTGTGATTTTCACTTTATTGGGCAGTATTCCTGTTGGCTTCTGAAGTTTGGGAGACGTGTGTGTGTTCCTGCGTGCGTAGGTCGGACCTCGCTGCGTCTCCCAGTTTTAGCTCATTTTGAGTGGATACGCGTTGATTTGGTGTTTTTGGAGGTACATGTGTCTCGTTTTAAACATGATCTTGCCCTAGAAGCTCTCCTTGGAAGTTATCTCACGCTCTTTCATTGGGTTTTCACGTGCCATTGGTGAGATACACTTCGCTTACCATAAAAGGCCTGGAAATGAAATCCAACAAAGAATTTTTAAAGGTGGATGTAAAAACGTTGTATCCCCAGTGACAGTGTATATATATGGTTTTTTAGGATATGGTGTTAGTTCTTATGCCCTGTTGATAAAGAAGATGAAGGAAAATTGTGGTAGAAGATGAGTGTTCTTGATATGTGAAGCATATTTATATCTTTCCATGTGATATGATGTTAAGTACTTTATATTTGTGGAAATGGTTACATAGACATGGGCTGACAAGAAGATGATTGATATATGACTTTAGTTCCTGTTTACTTAAGAGAAGAGTTTACACCATTGTAAAACAAACAACTAAAAATAAATATTTGATTAGTTAAACTTCATTTCTTTGATAATCCTTTATTGGTCATTACTTTGTGTTATTATGCAACAAATGTTCAAGCAGTGAAGTAGGATTGTGCTTGATAATCATTTTGAATTAGCCTTTTAGTAGACACTTGCAGGACAGATCTCAACTGTTTCACATGTCAGTTGCAGCTATAGCCTTATAGTCTATATAAGTGTCACCTTGCGGCAGCATTTCAGAGTTTGACTGATGCGCAAAATTAACTCTACGGATTAAGAAAAATTTAAGTTCCCCTAAAATAAAGCTCTACTCAGCTCTTCACACTTCAAATAAGGGTAACAAACCTCCACTATCTATTTTCCAAGAAAATAAAGCTGGGACTAATTCTTTGTTTCATGATAAATAGCCAGGAGGATCTACAGGCTCTGTCTGGCCAGTAACATTATTATTTGTTATTTTTTTTGTGTTCACATTTGAGAAAAAAAAAAAAATAGAATGTGGGTCAGCCTACTTGGCTTTCTAATTGTAACTAATATTTTGTTTTTCTTAGCTGTATTCTATCCAGAACTTGATGAAAGACCTGATGTTATTTCACTTGTATTATGTTGTTATGGTATTTCTTAGAACTAGGATCAGTTTCCACACAACCTTCGCATAACCAGTTGTAATGATTTTGGTATCGATGGATTCTCTCACTCTCTGGTACACATATGTGTAGGAATTATGCAAAACCTCCTAACCCCTACTGTCTTGGTCCTGATAGCAGGGAAGGGCATGAAAGGTACCAGGAAATTTACGGGGTAAACTAACAATAATAGAATAACATAATGAAGATAATAGCTCACTATATTGCTGAATGCAGGGAGCTGTGCCCCTTGTAACCCCACCCTTGCC